GATCCTCCTTCTCGGTCAGATCCAATTTGAATGGAGCTGTTTTGCCAACTCTTTCTCCCGGTGGCTGCTTAGCTCCAGCAACTGCTTCCTGTGGGGACCCCTAAGGAGCCGGGGCGAACAGGCGAGGAGGGGCTGGGAGAGGAGGGGCATGTAGAGGCCGACAAGGTGCCTCTCGATGTGAGTGACATCGAGTTGGCCACGCCCACCCAGTCACATGTCCACCTGGCCACACCCAATGAGACGATCATTAGGCAGATCGTATTAATGGTCCGCAGGATTTAAAATTATGAATTTAGTGGTGCAACAGATTGGGGAGCCCTGCTATAGGAAATGGGACCAGTTAGCCAACTTCATCTGATTCATAAAAACAGGGGGAAAGGAGGGGTATTGGACGGGTCCTTAAATCTTCCCAAATTGCGGGATACGTTTGGAGACAACTGGCTTGATTTACAGGTAGTCCTTGGTTTACAATCGTTTGTTTAGTAACTGTACAAAGTCACAATGGCAAGGAAAAAAGTAATTTACAGCTAGTCTACACACTTACAACCTTACACACATTTTACACCCTTACAACCTTACACCCTTACAACTGGAGGCTTTCAAGAAGAGACTGGACTGACATTTGTCAGGAATAATGTAGGGTCTCCTGCTTGGGCAGGGGGTTGGACTAGATGACCTCCAAGGTCCCTTCCAACTCTTTTAATCTGTATCTAACTCTGTTAATCTGTATCTCACCTTAAAAACACACGTACAACCTTACACCCTTACAACTGGAGGCTTTCAAGAAGAGACTGGACTGCCATTTGTCAGGAATAATGTAGGGTCTCCTGCTTGGGCGGGGGGTTGGACTAGATGACCTCCAAGGTCCCTTCCAACTCTGTTCATCTGTATCTTAACCATTGCAGTATACCCAAGGTCACGCAGTCCAAATTGGGGCGCTTGGCATGTATTTACGATGACCCTGGGGGAGGAGGGGGCACCGTTTGTTTGGTTCATTTAACGGCGGTGGCAAAAAGGTTGTAAAAAAAAATTTGGGAACGGCTCCCTTTTAACAACCTCTTTCCTTCGCCGTGGAGAGTTGGATATCCCGATTGTGGTCGTTAAGTCGAGGACTACCTGTGATTTGGACAGTGAAGTATGATAACGCTTTTGAAATATTATGGTTACGCTGTGTGGCTCTCGGCAAATGCTCCGTATATACACAAGGGGGTTGTGGAAATGCTTGGCAAGTAAATTGAAGGGGAGTGGGGGTTGCCTATCTCTGTCCTAAATGGAAGCCCTCCTCCCCAGGATGCTGTCATGAGGAAGAGCCCCAGAATTTTTAAAAAAATGGAAGAATTGGAATGACATTTAACCCCGGAATGTAGGCACAGCCTAAGTTTATTACCAGCCTCTTCTAATATTTCGAGACGCGGTGGGTCAGTGTCTTAAGAGGCTGAGCTTGTCGATCAGAAAGGTTCGAATCCTTAGCGTCGCGTAATGGAGTGAGCTCCCATGACTTGTCCTGGCTTCTGCCAACCTTGCATTTCGAAAAAATGCAAGCAGAAAAAAATAGGGACCACCTTTGGTGGGAAGGGAACAGCGCTCCGTACACCTTCAGCGTTGAGTCGTGCCGGCCCCGTGACCACGGAGATGTTTTCGGACAGCGCTGGCTCTTCGGCTTTGAAAGGGAGATGAGTGTAGCCCCCTAGAGTCGGGAACGACTAGCACATATGTGCAAGGGGAACCTTTACCTTTCTAATATTTGTCACCTTTAAAAAAACCTGCCTATCTCAGTTTGGTTGCTGGAGACAGCATAACACCCCCTCCCCCCCAAAAATAATTCTGCTTGTGGCTGTCAAGGCAGCCCACAAATGTAGAACTATATATTTCATTTGAATTCACTGCCGTATCCGAGTACAGCCACCCTGGGTGTGGATAATGAGCCTGGAGTTTGCATCCATTCAGCTTTCCCCTCGATCTTGATATGTATCTGTGGCTCTAGACAATTGCTTCCAGATGCTCACGGAACCGGCAAGGAATTGCCAATGGGTTCCTCCGAGGAAAGGTAATCAGTATTGTTTTCTTTGAGACCCCCCCCCCCCAATTGTCTCTGCCTCTGGGGTGGGGGCGGCTTTGCAAGGAGAAAGTGTGGAAGGCTGGATACCGATGATTTTTTGTTTTTTTTTTAAAAGGCAAGTGACGAAGTAACTCGGTACGGAGCCACTTCAAAGAGCGTGATTTTATCCTGGGAAGAATTCACACGCGGCTCATTTCCCCTTCCCCTCTAGAGAAAGGTTTATATATTTGTAGCCTGGCATCCCCTGGTGGTCCCCTTTCCAAGACACCAGGGGGATTGCAGTTCTTGGACAGAAGGTAGGATACACCTCACAGCCTAATTGCTCCCCGAAGCTCAGCATGGCACGCTCAACTAGCAATAGCAGTTAGACTTATATACCGCTTCATGGGGCTTTCAGCCCTCTCTAAGTGGTTTACAGAGTCAGCATATCGCCCCCAACAACAATCCNATATTCTATTCTATTCTATTCTATTCTATTCTATTCTATTACATTCCCATCCCCATCCCCATCCCCATCCTCATTCCCTTGTGTGTCCAATCACACTTGGCCAATAAATAATTCTATTCTATTCTATTCTATTTTATTTTATTCTATTACATTCCCATTCCCATTCCCTTGTGTGTCCAATCACACTTGGCCAATAAAATATTCTATTCTATTCCATTCCATTCCCATTCCCATTCCCTATTGTATTCCTATTCCTATTCTTATTCCTATTCCTATTCCATTCCATATATTCTATTCTATTCTATTCTATTCTATTCTATTCTATTCTATTCCATCCCAATCCCTTTCCCATTCCCATTCCTTGTTCTGTTCAAATTCTATTCTATTCCATTCCATTCCATTCTACCCTACCCTATTCCATTCCTATTTTCTATTCTATTCCGATGTTTCTGTTCTGCTTTGCTCTCTTCTCTTCTCCTCCGCTCCGCTCTGTTCTAACATCACCTTCTTTAATTCTTCCTCCTTTCTCCAGGTGAGGGTTTGGAGATACCTGAAGGGGAAAGAGGTGGTGACTCATGAGATCCTCTTGGACGGCGGGAACAAGGTGATGATTGGGGGCTTTGGGGACCCCTTGATCTGCGACAACCAGGTCTCCACGGGGGACACCCGGATTTTCTTCGTCAATCCCGCCCCGCACTACATGTGGCCTGTTCACAAGAACGAACTGATGCTGAACTCCAGCCTGATGAGGATTACTTTGCGTAACCTGGAAGAGGTGGAACACTGCGTCGAAGGTAAGTTCCCAGGCGCGGCACTTGAAACCGTGGCTGGCTTCGATCCTTTTACAGGCAGTCCTCGACTTAAAACCACAACTGAGCCCCAAAACGTCTACGGCGAAGCGAGACATTCGTTAAGGGAGTTTTGCCCCCTTTTTCCGAACGTCCTCGCCACCTCGGGTGTTAAGTGAATCGCTGCGATTGTTAAATGAGGAACACGGTTGTTAAGTGGATCTGGCTTCCCCACGGACTTGGTGGCAAAGGGGGAATCACGTAACCCCCGGACGCTGCAACCCGTCGTAAATATGATCATCCGAATTTTGTTCACAGGACCGTGGAAATGCCTGAGTGGCCTTAAGGGTGAAAAATGGTCGTAAGTCACTTTTTTCAGTGCCGTTGCAACTTTGGACAGTCACTAAGTGAACTGTCATAAGTCAAGGACTACCTGAAATCTGATTTATCGTCGGAAACACCAATTAAGCCCAATCCCTTGGGCCTCTCATTTAAGAATTTACTAAACAAGTCTCCTGTGTTCTAATCGTAAGGACTGGAACAGGAGTCGGCCACCTGCGGCTCGGAGCCGCAAGTGGCTCTTTTCATCCATCTGCTGCGGCTCCCTGTCTCCGGTCAGTTCCAGAATTGATAGGGCTTTTGGTTAGGACAGGTAGAGGAAAAAGGATGCAGCGCTAGGAGGAGACTCGGACTTCCGGTCGGCTCCAGATTTGAATGGGGGTGGGCTTCCAGTTAGGACCTTTGTGGCTCTTTGAGTGTTTAAGGTTGCCGACCCGCAAGACTAGAACCTTTGAAATAAAAGCTGAATATTCACACAGCAGGCCAAGATATATTCCACCACGGTGTGGTTTTGATTTCCTGCAATTTGTACTCACTTGTCGAATTTCACGGGGGCCACCCAAACTCCGGGAAAGACTCTGGGTGGCGTCCATTACTACAAAGTGTAAAAACAGAGAAAAGAATGATGTACGATCATTCGGGGGTGGGGGGGGGAAACATTCAGATTAAAATATAAAAATCCAAGAAGGAACTTGGTCTCTTATCCCAGCCCAAGTTTTTTGGGGGAAACTGCCAAATTTCCACATACTTTTTTATTTTATTTTAAAGAGGTTTGTGAATCTCTGGATACATATTTGGGGTTTTGTTGTTGTTGTTGTTGTTAATCACGACCGACATGGTGTGTGTCCCATTCATAAGAACGATGTGTGCGTGCTTAAGGGTGTGTGTTTTAACAGTAAGCTGCAAAACCCTTAAAGAAACTCCTCAGGCATTTTAAAAACTGGAATGTGCTCAGAGTTACACATTCCGACTTGATTGCCTCTTAACTTTTTCTCTGTATTTGCTTTCCAACCACTGATTATTATTATTATTATAAACAAGCCGCTATATTTGTCTGCGCTTTGCCATCCCGTGCTGTGTGCATTTATTGCTGGTTATGTCTTCTTTTAGAGAGCTCTTAATGGCGGAGATATTCCATAAATCCTGATTGTTTTTTAAAAAAAAATTGGCTAGTATTATTTGAGCTTCTTTGCAAGCGGCTTTGCAAACTTGACAGCTTTAAGACTTGTGGACTTCAACTCCCAGAATTCGTCCTCCGGTCATGTTGGCTCAGGAACTCTGGCATTGAAGTGTGCAACTCTTAAAGCTGCCAAGGTACAAGACCCTTGCGCCCCTAAACCTTTAGGAAAAAAAACCCCAGGGGTGTTCAAACTTGACAGCTTTAAGACTTGTGGACTTCAACTCCCAGAATTCGTCCTCCGGTCATGTTGGCTCAGGA